TGGATGTCTAGAAATGGCTGGTAGTTAGTTGAAACAGGTGCATGCAATAAAGTAGTCAGAAATAAAGAAATACAACAACTGGCCTGTATTAAGCAAAAGCCCCTATTAATCAGGACTTGTGCAAATATTCGCCATCATTTGAATGCCTCCAAACCTGGGAAATGTAAAATATGCAATGCTACCACTGCCATTGCCAAAAAAGAAATTAAATTAAAAAAAATGCACCCCAATTGAATGATTTCTTGGGAGTGCTTTGTTAAGTACAGTAATTTAATTCGCTGAAATTGTAAATGCTTGTATGCATTACTATGTGTTTAAATTTGATCAGTTGGTAGCTGAATTCTAGAGAGTTCTCTCGTAGCGCTCATATGATTGGCTAACATTGGTCACATGGGAGGTATCTGGTGAAGAAGAGGCTCCATTTTATGTGAAGCAGGATGACTGTGTTTTTAGAATCCACTGTGAACACTGCTAAGTTGAATAGAGTGTCGGACTGCTTGTTCTCTGCCTGAAAGAAAGAGAGCAAAGATGCCAGAGAAGGTTGAAGTGGAAATCTCTCACAGAAGCTACAAGGCATGGCCTAATTGAGATATAGAAGGCTGAGTGCTGAGCTCTGGATAGAGAGGAAAATACAGTTCTTTGGAAGTTAGGAGAAGAGACTGCAAACCCATGCTTGCATATGCATGTTTCTGTAAATATTATGTTTTAATTCATCTATAAGTTTCTCCAAGTAACATCAGGAAGAACTTTCTGACAGTAAGTGCTGTTCAGCAGTGGAACAGACTCCCAAGAGAGGTGATGGACTCTACTTCCTTGGAGGTTTTTAAGCAGAGGTTGGATGGTCATCCGTCATGGATTCTTTAGCTGAGATTCCAGCATTGGACTAGATGACCCTTGGGTTCCCTTCCAACTCTATGATTCTGTAGTCCTTCCTGACCATGAGGAACAAATGGACTCTGGATGAGCAGAGCCAAGCTAGGTTTGGAAGGTGATTGACTGGGAGACTGCAGTCAAGCAGCTTGCTACATGGGGCAAAGTTGAGCAGTTCCTCACATCTTCATGCATGCTTCTAAGATAAAGGTAAAGGGACCTCTGACCATTAGGTCCAGTCGTGGCCAACTCTGGGGTTGTGGTGCTCATCTCGCTTTATTGGCCGAGGGAGCCGGCGTACAGCTTCCAGGTCATGTGGCCAGCAGGACTAAGCCACTTCTGGCGAACCAAAGCAGCGCACAGAAATGCCGTTTACCTTCCCGCCGGAGCGGTACCTATTTATCTACTTGCACTTTGACGTGCTTTCGAACTGCTAGGTGGGCAGGAGCTGGGACCAAGCAACGGGAGCTCACCCCGTCACGGGGATTCGAACCGCCGACCTTCTGATCGGCAAGTCCTAGGCTCTGTGGTTTAACCCACAGCACCACATGTGCACTAAACACATGGGGGTGGGGGGAATAGGACTGTGGCCTGCTATCCTCCCATACTGTCCAGGCAATGACCCCTCCCCTCCAAAATCCACACCTTAAGTAGAATGTGTGAAGAGAACTGTGGATGCATGTGCAGTTATGCTAGAGTTGGAGTACCAGTCATGGTGAGCAGCTATGCACAAATAGTTCTATACCCATTGATCTCAATGTCACATGTCTTTACTAGATGTTGTGGTGGAGCCACATTGGAAGGCTCACGTGATGAGAACCCTAGTGATACCTTTACAGGGTGGTGGTCAACCCTTTAAAAAGAATTTGGACTGTGGTGTTGATTTGCAAGCCCCCCTCCACAGAGGCCGGCCCTTCTCACTGTCCTCGGAGCTTGCATACTGGTAACTTCCTCTGGCTGATATCCAGACAGACCAGGGAGATTTTGATAGGCGACATTTTCCCAAGCGTGGGTAAAATGCACAACCCCTCCCTCCTGCTTCCGCAGGGGAAAGAAAATAAGTCAGAAATCTATTTACATGATGTTTATTTCTGACATTACAGCACTAGAGAAAAACACGTCCTTTCAGTTCAGTTCTTCTAGCAAGTCTGACAAACTTCCTGAACATGCGCAAATGGAAGGTTTCAAATTACACTCTTCACAAAGTCTTATCCAGCCTGTGAACGACCTGGGAAATTCTTCTTTCCCACAGATAGGCACATCATGTGATGTCAACAATCTGGCTGTCTGCAGCGGTGATGTTTCCATATACTGACATCCTTCCCCATATGAATCATCGTTAGCTGCGGACAAAGCTTGATCCAGAGAAGAAAACAAACAGTTGTTATACATATAACAATCCCCTGTTGTTTCAGTTCCACCCTTGGAACTACCCGCCACTGGTTTCACCAATGTAACTCTCTGGTTGTCTGTTTTCCAAGGAATGAGTGCATCTGCATTACCTTGACTAGGGAATGTTGTGTTATGCTTAGCAACTCCCTGTTGTGTCTTTGTCTCCGACTTAGACATACCCTTAACCTGGCTTTTGTTGTCAACAATAGTAATACATTCAACAGCTGAACTAGCAAACTCTTGAGAATACCTCTTGGGTAGTACGCCCTTTGTGATTCTCTCATACCTGCGTATGAGGTGCTGATCCTCCTTGCTAACTGGTTCAGTCTCAGGACTTTTCGGAGAACCAGTTCCAATAGTAAACAGTGGTTCATCCTTAACCTGTGAAGATTTAGCTTTTGTGTGTGAACCTTTCTCAATAACTGTGTCAGCAGAACTCTCTGAGCTTTCTGTGTCACTCTCAGTACCACTATAATCAGAATAATCAAATTCATCATCTGAATCGTCATCAGTGGGAAATGTGTGAAAAATTACTCTCTCCTGTCCAGGAGCACTTTCTAGAAATTTTGTGAGAATCACCTGACCAGATTCAGACAAAATTACTCGGTAGAGACCCTTTTCATAACCCACAAAAATGCCTCTGGCATTCTTCACCCCATCTGGAGTTGCAGTCCTGATCTGAGATCCAAAAACCTTAAAATGTGTGACAGAAGGTTTCCTTTGGAATAGCCTCTCAAAAGGAGAACATTCCATACCTTTTGAAACCTTTCTCACCCAAGTGTAACAAAAACATGAGAAAGATTCAGCCCAATACTCATGTGGCAAGTGTGAACTCAGCAATTGTGCCTTCATGCCATTCTGCAATTCTTTGTTCACTTTTACACAGACAGTTTTGTTCCATGCAGCCTCTGAGACAGCAACCTTGTGCTCTATCCCTTGCTTCTCAAGGAAACCCTGAAAATCCTGTGAAAGAAAAATTGGCTTTTCATCTGTGAAAAGAAAATCAATGTTAGCATCATGAACACTCTTAACCTTATCACAAAACTCCTTAAACCTTTCTAAGGTTTCTCTGGGTTTCTGCAACATGTAAATCCATACATATTGAGAAAAATGATCAACAAACACAAGATAGTACTTTGCATTGCCTCTAGATGGTGCTAAAGGACCAATTACATCAGCATACACTCGCTGAAAAACTTTGTTAATCTTTGTTGCCTTTCCTCTCGTGTCTCCTTTGGGGTTCCCTCAAGAGAAAGCATTTTAGATTCACATGCTGTACACATTTTATAATCACTTTCGTCAAAAGTTAACAGATACAGTCCGTCTTTCTCTCTGGCAGAAAGATACAGCTCTCCATCTTTGTAGATTTTGCAACTGTCCTCATCATAGGATAACACCAGTTTCTTCTTAGCGATTTGAGATACGCTCAACAGATTGTACTTTAAATCAGGAACAAAATAAACATTGTTTATAGTCAAGTTCAGGCTTTCTAGATACACAGTTCCGATCCCGGTTGCTTCCATTTCCTAACCATTGGCCAGTTTCACAGTGAAGCGTTGCTTCTCAAACGTAGAAAACAGTTCCCGGCGTGATGCCATGTGTTGTGTCGCTCCTGTGTCTACAATAAATGAGTTCTCCACGGATGATGTGGCTTTTAGTGACATCAAAGCCATATCTGGTTTTGCCTGGGACTGGGTATGACCTTTGTTTGAAGCCTCAGGCTTTACAGAGCTCCCTCTAGCTCCTTTCTCCTGACGTGGTGTCTCCTGACAAACAGCGTTCTGAGTTACAGCTTTCTCCTCTGTAGCAATAGTAGTGGGGGTGCTTGATTTCTGAGCTTCACTCCCCCCATCAGCAACAGCCATTGCAGCAATAACAGGATCATCATCAACTACAGCAGCAACAGTCCCTTCACTTCCCTGTTGTGGCTCAAAGCTCCTCCCAGCTTTCGATGAGCTCTCAAGAATTTGGCTAGCTTCATCTTGGCTCTCCCCCTTTGGTGCAACCAATTCTTGGTCCTTGCTTCCCACCCCAGCTTCACAAGCTTTGCGGAGTGACTCCCAAGCAACCCTTGGTTCTTCAGCACCCTTTAGGACTGGCTCAAGATAAGCGTCCACATTTTCTGCCAAAATTCTCATTACACGCTGCTTCAATTCACTTTGAAGTGCAGCCTTCTTCCCCTGTGCTTAGCCGTCTTGTTGTCGCAACCATCGGGCTCTGCTACCACTTGTTGATTTGCAAGCCCCCCTCCACAGAGGCCGGCCCTTCTCACTGTCCTCGGAGCTTGCATACCAGTAACCTCCTCTGGCTGATATCCAGACAGACCAGGGAGATTTTGATAGGCGACATTTTCCCAAGTGTGGGTAAAATGCACAACCCCTCCCTCCTGCTTCCGCAGGGGAAAGAAAATAAGTCAGAAATCTATTTACATGATGTTTATTTCTGACATTACAGCACTAGAGAAAAACACGTCCTTTCAGTTCAGTTCTTCTAGCAAGTCTGACAAACTTCCTGAACATGTGCGAACGGAAGGTTTCAAATTACACTCTTCACAAAGACCTATCCAGCCTGTGAACGTCCTGGGAAATTCTTCTTTCCCACAGATAGGCACATCATGTGATGTCAACAATCTGGCTGACTGCAGCGGTGATGTTTCCATATACTGACATGTGGCACTTGAATGAATGAGAGAATCAGAGAACTGGAAGGGGCAGCAAGTACAATCCAGTCGAACCCCATGCAAGGCAGACCCAACCTGGGGCTTGAACCCATGACCCTCATATTAAAAGTCTTATGCTCTACCAACTGAGCCATCCCAGCACCTTTCTTTCACTGGATGCGTGCAAACCAATGAAATTTATAAGACTGAAAAGTGCATAACTTTGGCTGGCTTGTGTCCTTTATTTTTATCGTCACTTCACTAACTGGAGTCATATATTACAAGTCTGCACTTCTGTATTTGGCATGATTTGCGGACAAATGATTCACTTGCATTTTGCAACTCTTTGGCATTCCGAACGGCCAGCCAAGTTTATTGCGCAAGGAAACGTTTTCCCCTGCAAATGCTTTTTTTAAAAAAGGCTTGCTGGAAGTCCAGAATTTCACATTTGTCAAACGCTGGTGTTTGCTTTAGAGATTTCCAAAGCAAACTCCAAATTTGGCAAGCTGGGGTCCAATACAGCTATCGGTGTGACAAACTTCAAAGAGCTCTTCTGCTATAAAAGATAATTGCCCATGGAAAGAAAAGGATGGCGCTAAAGTTTTTTATGGGTTGCTGTGAGACCTAATCCAGCATTCTGGCTGACCTGATGCCTATGGGTAGCCAATGAGACGGACCTGATTGCAACCATATTGTCTCCCCCAGAATTTCCAGAAACTCGTGTTCAGAAACATACTATCTCCAATGGTGCAGTAGTAGTAGTAGTAGTAGAAGAAGAAGAAGAAGAAGAAGAAGAAGAAGAAGTTTTTGAATTTGATATCCCACTTTATCACTACCCGAAGGAGTCTCAAAGCGGCTAACATTCTCCTTTCCCTTCCTCCCCCACAACAAACACTCCGTGAGGTGAGCGAGGCTGAGAGACTTCAAAGAAGTGTGACTAGCCCAAGGTCACCCAGCAGCTGCATGTGGAGGAATCGAACCCAAGGTACTACAGTGGCACCTCGGGTTACATACGCTTCAGGTTATAGACTCCGTTAACCCAGAAATATTACCTTGGGTTAAGGACTTTGCTTCAGGAAGAGAACAGAAATCGTGCAGCGGCAGTGCAGGGGCAGCAGGAGGCCCCATTAGCTAAAGTGGTGCTTCAGGTTAAGAACAGTTTCAGGTTAAGAATGGACCTCCGGAACGAATTAAGTACTTAACCCGAGGTACTATTTCTGGGTTAGCGGAGTCTGTAACCTGAAGCGTATGTAACCCAAAGTGTATGTAACCCAAGGTACCACTGTAAAACCTTTAGAAGATATCTGAAGGCAGCCCTGTATAGGGAAGGTTTTTTTTTTTAATGTTTAATGTTTTACTATGCTTTTATATATGTTGGAAATGACCCAGAACAGCTGGGGCAAACCAGTTAGATGGACAGGTAATAATAATAATAGAATAGGATGTCCCTATTTTAAATGGAGAAATGTTGGAAGGTATGCTCTTTCCTGCCCAGGTGGAAGATAGAGAGGACCATGTGACTGTGTGTAGTGGAGGTGACAACTTGAGTAAAATATTGGTGTGACCCAGGTGAGTCCCGCTCCATCCAGGTGATGTCCCGATCACATGATGTGGTGCATGCACACTATTTGAATGGCAATGCCCATCAACTTTGGGGGGGGAGCAGGCCCCTTCAACTGTTTTATGGGTGGAGGGACAAAGACCCAGAGCCCCTAGGAGTTGGCTCCTATGGTGTGTAGGAACTAACCTGCTACACAAAGGTACTACAGTGGTACATCTGGTTACGAACGAGATCCGTTCCGGAGGCCCATTCACAACATGAAAAGCCCGGAACATGAAGCGCCGTATCTGTGCAGGTGCGCAGCATGATTTGGCGCTTGTGCACATGCGTGGAGCGCGATTTAGCATTTCTGAGCATGTCCGAGTGGTGAAACCCGGAAGTAATCCTTTCCGGTACTTCTGGGTCGCCGCGGGATGCAACCTGAAAAAACGTAACATGAGGTATGACTGTACAGTGGTACCTCGGGTTAAGTACTTAATTCATTTTGGAGGTCCCTTCTTAACCTGAAACTGTTCTTAACCTGAAGCACCACTTTAGCTAATAGGGCCTCCTACTGCTGCTGCACCACTGGAGCACGATTTCTGTTCTCATCCTGAAGCAAAGTTCTTAACCTGAAGCACTATTTCTGGGTTAGCGGAGTCTGTTACCTGAAGCGTATGTAACCTGAAGCGTATGTAACCTGAGGTACCACTGTATTTATATTTGTAGCTCCACCCCTTTTGCCTGTGGCCCATCCCACCCCTGGTATGTGGGCCCTGGAAGCCTGCCCCGAAGGGAATGAAGCCCTCCAGCTGGAAAAGCTTCCCCCACCCCTGACTTAGAATACTTAGAATTCCCTCGGCCATTTGTGCAGCTGCCTTTCAAGGGGTTAATCTGACTCCTGCACCGAAATCAAAGACCCAGGCAATGCCTGCCTTCAGCACAGGGGATAATAAATGTGACACTCTCCCGGACTATCGGTAGCAAATATTTGAGCTTATCAAATAACGGAGGAAGTCGTTTAGTTACAAATAAACCAAACTCTCATAAAAGAGGTCTCCGCGCAAGGTGATTTCATTGGACTGGAGACAGCTAAAGGCCACTCGCCCAGGCACAGCTCCCTCTCTGTGTACATTTGGTAACAGGCCTGCAATGATTAATGGCCAGCCGAGGGTGGGGGATCTGGGTCCCGGAGCTGAGGAACGCTGAGAAACTGTGCCCTGAAACTCTGGCCTTCATATCAGCAAAACAGAAATAAATAAGCATCTCGGGGTTATTGCTAGGAAGTGACTCATCCTTTGGAACATAACAGGATCTGTGCTTCCCCTCCTCCTTCCCCTCCTCCCACATTCTCTTCTCTCTTTCTTTCCTTTTTCTCTGTGGCAAAGAGCAGTGTGTCCCAGAGGCTACAGTTGATGTCTCTGCTTGGCACTTGATGTACAGAGAGAGAGAGAGTCCTGGAATTATACCCTTAAAGAGACAGAACTCTGCAGGGGAAATCGGAAGCCCAACCAAAACAATGTCTTAACTCTTGTGGGTGTGCAAAGCAAGGGACTGGACCTTTTCTGCTCTGGTGCAAAATGCAGAAAGTCTTTAAGAGGGTGGGAACATTTCCAGTGCCCCATGAAAATAAATCCACACTTTTATCTGGTAAAGTTGCTCCCTATCGCTTTAACTCTGTGCCAGGAACAGCTACGCCAGCACTATTTTTGCATGTGAGGCTGCCATTAAAGTCACAGGATTTTTTTTGAATGACTCAAATTCAAATGTGCTACAGGATTAATAATATGGCTTGTGTATCTAGCTACATAAGCACTATACATTTAAAGAACATGGATTTCCTCTGAGAACTGTGCTTTACCCTTCACAGAGCTACAATTCCCAGGATTCTTTGGAGGAAGTCCTCTGCTTTAAATATACTTTAAATGTATGGTGTTTATGTAGTCTAAACATGTAAGTTTATAATGATTCTCTTTTCTTTAATCTCACCTTTATGGACCCCAGCTGTATTGACAAGACATATTGTTATGAAACATAATCACAATTTTAAAAACCCTCTAGTCTTTCAGATGTGTCAGTTTTAGGAACTATATATGAAGCATTTTAATTGCTTTATAAAGGTTTTGTCAGAAGGGTACGGGAGTTCAAGATCGTAAAAGAGAGGTGTTTCTTTTATCCTGGAGCAATGCAAAGTTGGAACAGCTCTTTCTCCTTTCGCAGATGTTTGAAAATTGGTTCTTGATCTCTGTGTGTTAAAGTTTAAAAAAAAAGCAGTTCAAATTAAGTCACTGCTCAGTCCAAATTCTCTCTAATCTCACTAATACAACTTAGGCAGGAAATGTAGTGCTATGACACACATTCATAAAGGTGTACACATAATAGGCATATAATTGTCAGTTCTCAACACTCTGTGTCACCCTCCTTAAAAGGAAAGTATCCATCATACACTAGCTAAAGCTGTGACAGACTGATATGAAGCAAACAGAAGTCAGCTCAATTCATAGCCGCTCCTTTTTAATTAAAAATTTAGTTTAATGGCAAGTGTTGGCTGAAATCCTGGGCAGAATTGCAAGAGGGCATAATTTGCCCCTCATCCCGAGCACTAGCTTCACTAGGAGATCAGGGAGGGAGAATGGCACCTGCAATGTTACACTTGGTGACAATGTTCCATTTTGAGTGAGTAAAAGCTGGCAATATCTCTAAAAAGGTGTTGCTTGCAAGGATGTGTTACTGGGGAATGCACCTCTGTTGCCATTGTGGTTCCTCTTCTCTGGAAGGAGTTCCCTGTAATAAGCAGGCCTTCACTTCATGAATACCTCATAATGACAAATATTTCACAAGTACAGTGGTACCTCTGGTTAAGTACTTAATTCGTTCTGGAGGTCCATTCTTAAGATGAAACTGTTCTTAACCTGAAGCACCACTTTAGCTAATGGGACCTCCCACTGCTGCCGTGCCGCTGGAGCATGATTTCTGTTCTCATCCTGAAGCAAAGTTCTTAACCTGAGGTAATATTTCTGGGTTAGCGGAGTCTGTAACCTGAAGCGTATGTAACCCGAGGTACCACTGTATATCTAATGATATGGGGCGTGAATGTCTTGAGAAAGGTGTGGGGAACTGAATCCAGCTGGTGGGTCCGATCATTTCTTCCCACACTCCCCACTTGCCTGATATCACAATGACGTTGGTCATAGGAGCCAGCTCCCAGGGTCTGTGGGGGCTTCGGTCCCCACAATAAAATATTTGAGGAGGCTGGACCCCCCCCCCAGTTGATGGACATTGCCACTCAAATAGTGTGATCATGTGATAGATTATGTGTGGTGGAGCTTGCCTGGGCCCCCAACAATATATTCTTCAAGTTGGCACCCCTGATATTGGGTGACCCATTTTTGTCGACATGTCCTGAAATCAAATGGTGTGACCAAAGGCACAGCCCAGTGCTTTGAAAGCCCTGTTGGTCAGCTGGTCATCGGGGCTTGCAAAGCACCATGAAGAGGCTTTGCACATGACTCAGCAGGAGCTGCTAATCACCTGACTGGCGGTACTTGCAAGAATTCATTTCAGCCCACCCACACCTCTGTCAGGTGTAGGAAAGGTGGGTTGGCTCGGCTGAAACTGCCT